AGCTATATCATGATGGTTAAGTGTATGCCGCATGTTGTTGTAAGAATGGGCATTTTTAGAATTGTTGTTATTGAATGCCACCACTGAGTTGGTTCCGACCCATACCGACCTTATGCACAGTCGCCCTCCCAATCGTTCCTATGCCTGAGCCCATTGTGGCAGCCACTGTATCAATCATTCTCCTTGAGGGCCTTCGTCCTTTTAGCTGCCCCTCCACTTTACCAAGCCTGGCATCTTTCTGCACTGACAGGTCTCTACTGAAAACTTATCCAAGGTACAAGAAATGAAACTTTACCATCCCTGCTTGTAAGTAGCACTCTGGCTGTACTGCTTCCAAAAATACTTTTACTAGCATTTTAAATAAATTCTTAAAAAGCATGCACCCTATGAAAAAGACAATTTAAAGTACCACAACGCTAATTCTTTTATAATATAAGAAGGGAATCCCATATTTGCTATGCATATCATACAGAAATTATTTGTTTTTCTAAAGGAATAATATCCTTAAGAACGTTAATGCCATAAATTTGTTAGCAAATTTAAACGATTTTAATAATAAATTCTTCCTGACTTTTCATACTTCTGTTGTTATCTGGCCTCTTTAGTTTTATGATTGGAATGACCACGGAAAGGAAATACCGTAGGTAGTTTATGTTTCTTTCTGTCGCTTCAATGGACCCATCTTTTGTACAATGAGTAATATATACTTTTAACCCCAGCATTTGTGTACCAAACAGCCTGAAGGGGGCTGAGAACAACAGTACTTGAAGTAACATCACGTACTAATTGTTTGTGGCGAAGTGGCTGAGGGATGATGAACTTGGAGGTATTGTCAGACCTGGTTTGCTGTTCCGAGTCTTAAGCCGAGAATGGAAACAAAATAAAAGCAAGCACTAAAGAGCGGACAACAGCATCAAAACTCTAGAACATACTGTATGCAGTGAGTATTTTAGCCTAGTTTAAATTGATATTTATTATGCCCACTGAGACCACAAAACTGATGTTTAATTTTACAGTTTAAAGTCACACATAGAGACATGCTTTACAAAACAGGACATTGTTCTCAAGTAAGAAAAGATTACAATCTAGTTCCTAAACTGCTCGGTTGATGTTGTTTACCTGAATAACAGAGCTGTTGTGGAATGTAGGCTCCAGGATACAGTCATTTTTGAAACAGCTAGTTCAGGTTTGAAATTTGACAGAGCTAAAGAGACAATTCAAACAAGGCCCGTCTTAGTTTTCCAAGACGTTTCGTTCTTTAACTACATCATGTTTGCTGAAAAAAAAATTTCCATCTCTCCTGAAAAATGGAGGGTAGTAAGCAGCTTACATTTGATTGCTTATAGACAGTCAAAAAATCACCAGTATTTCACTCTACCCTCAAAATGCGTCTCAAGACTTTAAAATATCAGGCCTATCTAGTTTGTTTTATTACCTGCTAATACTCAAAGTCTCTTGTAGCAGTCAAATATTTATGGCACTGCTTAAGCCAAACTGAACACTTCTGCCTTCCTTATTTATCAGTGAAGTACATTTGCAAAGCATGTGTTTGATTTCCTCTGAATAATACATGTTAGTATGTTAGCAGTACTCGTCAATTCCGAAGTGCAGCAAGATAAAACAACCATGTTTGTGGCATGCCTGAGTGTGAAATACAAAAATACTGTCCCTAGAGTGTATATTTGCTAAGGAAAATGTTAGCTTCACAAATTCCCATAGAGTATGATCTTCTAGATATACTGTCGACATAGGTAGAGATAGTTCCAATATGCTGTGCTTGTTTATAAAATAAAACAAAATGCACTATAGATGTTAAGTGTTTACTGCACACTAGGGGTCTCCATTTGTCAGTCTCGACTAGATGGCAACTCACAACAACATAGACTTACAACATTGTGAAGCTCAAAAAAAAAAGTTAAATAACATAAAACTGGGCTAAGTAGATACAAATGTTTGAAGGATTTGCCAATGAAACTTGGTTCATTTAAAAGTCAACTATTCCAGCCTGAGGCTCTTCAATTTCTGCTGTCACCTTAAATGTGCCCAGATGTATCTAGAAGCTATTGCACTCACCGTTTGCCACTGCTGATCAAAATGACCACCGGTTGCGCTGATTATCTGAATGCTGAGTATTAAGTTGTGCCCAGGGTTGACAGAAAGCTTTGAGTTCCTTCTTGAAAATTGTAAAACCATAAAGAAAAACATTAGCAATTCAAAAATCCCACACTTGATAATAGATCACTGAAGATGTTAGCACCTTATAAAAATCATATTTTGGTTGAGCACAAAAAATAAAAAGCAAGTTCTGCTTTATTTACAAATCACAGTTTTCCTCACAGTGTTAGACTTTGGGTCACTCTGATGTGGCAGTGCCTTAAAGGATGATGGCCATTACATTTTTTTTTTTTTAATATGATGGATGGGAGGCCAGGTAGGCAGTGGACAGGGCCGTGAGTAAGAAACACATGCAACACAGATCCTGCTACAGTGCTACTAGGTTCGTAGGATGCAGCGAACAGAGCTGACTATTGCATAGGTCTCAGTCCTATTCTCCTTTGTAAAAGCAATATCTTCTCATAACCCTTTATCTTTTCTATAATACCTGCAGAGCACCAAAAAGGCATATGCCAGACTGAATAGTTTGCTAATCTGCACACTGTCTGCATTCTGACTTCTGGGCTGATGAATGGTTTTGTAATCCAATATGTTGCCATGTATTATTGAGTAGAGCACACGTGTGCTCATAGCGTGACAGGCTTCATGGTGCTAAAACTTGGTGAGCCACTGCTGTGTTTCATACTACCAGAGCTATTAAGTAGATTCTTTGCTTTAGTTGACAAGTTAGTTAAATTGAACTGCCTGCTTGACAACCTTAAAGGCCAAGTTGGCAGATAAGAGAGAAAATAGAGAAAACATCCTAGTTTCTTTGCTGTGTGTCTAAAAGCTACAGTACCTTGACCTTGGCTCTATTATGATGATCGTCTTGAAATGGCCTCTTCTGTGCTAATGCTTATTTCCTGTCATTTGTGGGTTTGAAACTTAAAAAGCCCAAAGCATTTTTATGGCCTGATACTGAATTCTAAATGGGTTAGAAATAGCCACCAAGCATACCAATGAGATTTTACATCCATCTGTAGGATATTAGCCAAATTCTGACAATGTTATATTCAATCATAGTCCAATTCCTGGACTTTGACACGTGTTAGCTGTCCACATCTAAAGAATCACAATGGCCTTGTGAGCAAGGATGTGGTCCAGGAGGAAACCGAACTAGAGATTGTCCCAGTCAATCGTGCTGTGCTTCCACAGTTACCTTATTGCTGTGCCTGCCCATTATAGTCAGAGGTCAGCGGATCTCATAAAAAATTCCTCTGCCTGCCTCAAGTGTTACCGTCACCACTGGGAGATTCATCAGTAGATGTAAAACGCTATCAACGGACACTTCATATCTATCCAAACCGTTTTGACTACGTTTAGCATCTGAACCATATAAATCCAAACTGTTGGAGATCCTTGCTAGAGTTCTGCACACACTGGAGACTAAGGGATATTATTTTTAAAGAGCATATCTAAAGCAGGAAGAAAAAATTGGTTCTTCCATTATTTTATATCACTCAGGTTAAATGAATACAACTTCCATCAAAAAGTTTCTTGTTCATGTTTTCAGTGGAGGGGTTTGATTCCTAACTGTATCATGGCTTCAATAAATAGTTTCAAGGCTATCTCTGTACCCAAGTTTAAAACTTGACCTTGACCCATATTTGCTTGAATAAGTGCTTGTTTGTTTTTCCTTATTTGTGACTTAGAAAAGCGAGTGTTAACTGGAAACAAAAGGTCCATTAATATAATAAAAATAATGGCCACCATAGCTGGTCATAAAGATTTCATTTAAAACTTCCTTAGATAGGAAAATAATTTTATCTTAATGAGGATAGTTATGGTATATATACACACACACACCTGTTTCACGCAGAGAGCTTCTGTTAAAAAAAAATACAAAAGCAACCAGTGCTGTATATTATGTAAACTCACAAAGTGTACTTTATACACAAACATGAAGCATAAATTATAAGATAGGACAATAGTAAAACACATTAAATATAGAAGAACTTGCACATATTTTTGTTAAATAAGAATAAATAATTTTATCACACAAATTCACATACCAGTTGCAAAAACAATAAATTACTTTTTTTATTCAGTGCTGCAACTTAAAAAAAATTGTTTGTGATTAATCCCTTCATTCTTAGTTTAATGGGATAAAACTGTTTCCACAGGAAGGCAATCGAAGTTGAATTTACTGAGCACACTACTTTGATTTTTTCTATTCTATAAAAACAAAACAAAACAATCTGTTGTTTTATTCTGGGTTCTCTTTTTACTCAATGAAACTTACTCCAGAGTGTTTATTTTTGTAAATGGGATTAGACTTTTACCAACCTGAGGATTTTTACAAAATATGTTGAAGAAGTACCCCTAGATATACCGAATCCTAGATTTGTTCTTTCTTTCTCCCACTCTTTTTTTTTTAATCCAAAAAGAAACCAACCAAAAGCCAAGATAGTTCATTGCCATCGAGTCAATTCCGATGCATACTAACCCTATAGGGCAGAGTAGAACTGCCCCTGGGGCGTTCTGAGACTATAAATCTTGATAGCAGAAAGCCTCATCTTTCTCTTGTGGAGTGGCTGCTGGCTTCAGTCTGCTGAACTTGCTGTTAGCAGCCCAACACTTAACCCACTATGCCACCAGGGCTCCTAAGCCTATGTGGAGACATAGTCCAAAGTCAAACTGACTTGGGTTGGATTGAATTACAACAAATTTCCCTTTGCTTATCATTCTTATAACTTCTGAATACTCTCCATTTTGAAGAATTTGAGTTCTCATTCTGTGTAATTTTTTTCTTAGTTTAGCACACATTCCTCGTTCAATCTATTGAAATGTGTAAAAAGAATATTATATATATATATATATATGATGAAAACTCATTAAGAGCACGGAATAGTGGTTTATTTAAGTTCTCTATAGTTCTCACTAATAAGTGTAAAATCATTATTTTCTGGGGAAAATATTGGTAAATCATTATAGAAATTTGTGAAAGGAGGATAGAGAAGTATGAAGTGTATAATGAATTTACTTTTCAATGATCTCTTTGATATAATTGTACATTTCTCACATTTGAATGACATGATTAGGATTATTTTCAATATAGGGAAAATTAAATGTTAACTTCTCTATTGATTCCCTTTTGTACAAAGGCCAGGGGCTATTTGTTGGCATGTGGGTGGGTGTTTTCTAATGGATTTGGCTTATTTTGCACCCCGCCCTTGGTGGATGGTGACCTCACATTAAATGCAGGGTTTAGTTTTGAACAGGCCACATTTCTCTACCTAATACTTTATCAAGGAGAAGAGACTATGTTAAAGCAAAGTCAGGTGGTGGAAATTATTAGTTTTACAAAACACCTACTTGTATTACAAAATAATGTCTAAAGGAAATTCTTAAAACAATGAGAAACCAATTATCCTGGCTTACGAAATAAAATGACGTAAAAAGACAATTATATAATTGTTATACTAAAACATCTCAAAAAACCCAAACTATTAGAACTTAATGAAACTCAAGCAATACTTCCCTAATATTCCTGAAAATCCTTGACAGCAGGCAACTTTGGTAGGATTTTTATGACACTTTATAAAGATGATTGGTTTTGTGGTGTTTCAAAAGGACAACGAAATCCAAAATGAAACGGGATACCTTAGATTTTTCTGCAAAACAGGACGACCTAATGTGGCTTACAATTTAAACAGAATTTTTTAATGTGCGTGATTATAAAAATACGTCAATGTTTACTCAAACTTACAACTTAGCTAAACAGGCTATGACAGTAAAAGTAACACACACTCTGGAAGAGCCTCACATCCCATTGTGCAAATAATCACTGGAACAATCACGTTCTTTCCAATTGGGGAGAAAAAAGCTGCTTAGTACGATATACTTGATTTAAAAATCTTTAAAAATTATTGCCTATGGTGTGGAAACAGTCTTATGAATATTAATAATAACCACTTATAGATATGGCTCATTGCCAAGTGCCTTTAATACTCCTATTAAACTATGTCAACAAAGAGTACAAAGTATTGTTAAGTCTTACATAATCTTTGAATAAAACAAGCAAAAGCAAACACATTTTAAAGGCTTGCTGGTAAGAGGTATACCAGTGTTGAATATGATCAAGAATTTTTGCTGTGTATTTTTGCTGTGTGCATATTACACATTGTGAGAAACCAGATGGAGCCATAGGAAGAGAAAGGAGGTGTGAAAATAGAAATTGAAAACACAGTGAAATATTTTGTTGTTTTCTTACTTTAAAATTCTAACACAAGAAAAGTAGTTTGTATACTCTTGAATACTGAAAACATACACACCCCCTAACACACTGTCTCTACCCTAATGATGTGTTCATTTGGCTGTCTGCCTGAGAAATTGTAGGCCGTCAGTGGGTTTTAAATAAGTGGACCTGTGCATAGGTTTAAATGATTAGATACACTCAGATCCTCCTTCTTTTATGAATTTCTCAGAAGATCCTTTGCTGTCAAAAATGATGTTGACTAATACATGATCTCCTGCAGTCTGAAAGTATACTAACCCATATTAAAACAGCAGCATGTTCTTAATTTCCAGTAAAACATCCACAGCTCTTTCTGGAAACTGCAAGTAGTTGAAATAGCTGCAGACCTACTTTGGTCAATTACTCTTATAGAAATATATATATATTTTACTAGAACCAAGTGTTATAAAGTGACATACTGAGGAAGAATGTATTTACAAACAGTAAAAAGAAGCTACTGTGTGTCAGGGAGGAACACGATCATGATGTCTTTAAAAACATCCGGTAAGAGGTAGGTGACAAGAGGGAGATTGCTCCGCCATCTTCAAATGTCCCCCGAGTCTACATTCCTCTGTGTTTTGTTCATTCTTTCAGGCACAGGGTATTCCATAACTCCCACGTCTTATTTGATGCCAAGGTCACCATTGTCATATGAAGCAGTGCCCATCCTCCTTCGGCTGCAGAGAGCAGATTCCGCCTATAATTCTTCCTCTGTTGACAATGACACTGAAGCATGACCTTCTTTAGGGAGACCTCTTGTTCATCACGGCTGTATCCGTGATGAATTATCGACTTATCTTTGTACACACGCTGATAACCACAGGCTAACATTTCTTTAGCAAACATTGTTTAAACGCAGAAGGCCTCTGAGAGAGAAGACATCCCTTGGCTAGCTTCCGGTTTCCATCCTGGCACTGCACCGTCCTGGTGTGCCAGCCCGTGTCACAGGTCCTAGAACAAGCAAGCCATGGCCCTGTCACCCACAGCAAAGGGGAGGGGTGTGACCCTACTTTATTGCTGCCATGACTAATGACAGAGTTGACTTTTTGAGTCAACTTCTTGGGAACAAAAAAACTGTAACGGACATCTAATGCTTTAGTTGGGTCGGTGGCAAGAATTTGCACGATGAGAATTTCCTTGGTGGCCGCATAGCCCATCCCATGTAAGAAGTCATCTCTGTGGCTCCAACCACTGTAGTTCATGACCGTTCCGTTGATGTCAATGATCGTTTCTGAAGTGGAGATCATGTACTTTCCATTGATAAGGTACTCACCATTTTTCTTTTTCAGGGCTAAGTAGGCAGTAAATCTAGTCTGGTCTTTGGCTTTGAATTGTCGAACTTTTATGTGGGTTGCCCCTTCAGGGATCCTAACAACATCTGTGTAACCCTTGCTGTAAGCAGGAAGGTCCACAGAAGAGAGAAACAAAGAGAGAAAGAGAAGGGAAATAAGTTAGCACTTCTTAGATGAGTAAAGAAATAGCCTCTAAAAGTTTTATCTTATCCTCATATGAAGTATTCATGCATCCAAACAATTAGTTACAATTGACTGTACAATTACTTCAGACAAAATAAAAGTACAGTAAGACTAGCATATTGCACCCATGTTTATTGAGTTCACACTTGAGATGGTGATAGCACCCTAACTTAATTTTTTTAATTTATGTTATCAGTATTTAAAGATTGATGCCACCACTACCATTCTTTTCAAATAAATACTATTACCTTTACAAAGCACTCTGTGTCCTTTCCGGCACAAACTTAGCTCTATGTAAACAGAAAGTCATAATGATCTCCCCTCAATGATCTAATGTTAGTCTGTAAATGAACGTTCTCAAACTCCTCTGCACATGAGAATCACCAGGGACTCTTCCAAAAATCCCTAAGCCCAGGCCTGATCCCAAACCAATCACTACATTTCAAGATGTTAGAGAGGCAAGAGTACTGCTTGGGTTCCCCAGATTGCTTCCAAGTGGAGACTATTTAGGAGCCATTTATTGAATTATATTTTTGCCTGAGACAGAGTAGTGGCTCTATTTCCATTTCTACCAGAACTTGGGATTTCCTGGGCCAAGACACAAAACGACAGATAAAACTCTGTTACTCAGATGGCAGATCCTCAAACAAGGGGGACACTAATATACGACCCAACGACTCTCTACTCGGTATACACCCTAAAGAAATAAGGAGCCAAACATGAGCAGATATATGCAGACCTACGTTTATAATAGCATCATTCACATTAGCAAGAAGATAGAAACAAACTAATGCCCATCAGTAGAGGAAAGGATTTAAAAAAGCTTTGGCATTTACGTTCAACGAATACTATGCATCCCTAAAGAATATTGATGAAACAGTCGAAACACCTCATGACTTGGATGAATCTGGAATATTCTATGCTGAGTGAAGTTAGTCAACTTCATAAAGATAAATAATGTATGAAACAATATTATGAAAGAAAAAATTGGTTTTCATTACAAAAGAAGCAGACTCTGATAGTTTCTGATAGAGAAGTCAGGGTGAGAGAGCAAGAAAAAGGAAGGAAGGGAAAAACAATAAATAAATAAAATTTATAAAATAAAATTTATAAGGATGCATAGGTAGTAAACATATAGGTAGATAGATAGACAGAAACATAGATTTAAAATAACCTTCATCACAGGAGAGCGATAAGTTAATACTGTCACAAAAGGGAAAACACAAATCTTTCCTATCTTAGTAAACTTTCCTGAATCTCAGTGCCTAATCTCAAGTATTACAGCACATCATGTGACACAGTAAATACAGTAGATTCTAAGAGAATATTATCTATTCAGAAACATACCCAAAGGCATAAATATCTATAATATCCATGTTATTGTTGTAGTTAGTTGCCATTAAAAGGGCATGAAACCTTATGCATATCTGAGTGAAAAATTGGGATTCCCTATGATTGAGGGGGAATTACATCTTGCCCAGATCTTTGAGTTTCTAGGTAATTTCATAAACTCTCTGATTTTGTAGGTAATTCCAATGTGCTTCATTTTCCTAATTATGTAAATAGAAATACAGCTGGGTGTGGACTTTGATGAGTTGGAATTTAATTATTTGATTTGGAATTCTTGCTCAAGGCAAGAAGTTATGGGATAGCTGATTCCTTTACTAAAAATCCAAGTGAGTTCCCTCAATTCAGGCATTTTCCTTGGAACAGAGAGGAGCTTATCTGCTATACACTCGTAACCAGACGCTGAGCTGTATGCAGTGAGAAAGGCTAAGATACAATGCGGAAAATGCTGCTTATCTGTCCAACAGGGTTTACTTTTCTTTTTGTTACCCCTTTTTGCTTTTTTTTTTTTTGCAATACATTATGGATTAGAATTTCTTAAAGATTCTATGAGTCTGCATTGACAAGATGGCAGTAAATATAAATTGATAATATATAAATGTATAATGGTTACAACCCAAACCAGGAGAGATGTTGAAGACACTATGTGCCTTAGAACATGCAGATTACTAAAATACTTGAACTTCTCTCAATAGCTAGTCACTACCAATTTTGACCCCCAACTTGTGCTTCTTCACTACGTCAGCAAGTGTGAAACCCTTACTTCTATCAATATAGTTTACAACACTTTAATGAAAATAAACTCTGGCCAAAGTTCAGACTTGAAATGATAACAAGTCGAGTGTAAAGAAAATAAAGAAGAAAGGATAAGGGACTAAGTCAAGAGACCTTTTTTGCTTTCCTTGTTTCTGAAAGCCTGTTTCAAATTCATAAGAATTTGTGGGGATTATCAGCAGAGCAACTCGTCATCAAATAGCGTTTCACAAGCCACTGGTGAATTTGTGCCTTGATTTCCTAGTGCCTTTGTAAAAGGTGTCTTGGTGACATAGTAGTTACACATTGGGCTACTACTAATCGCAAGGTCAGCAGTTTAAAACCATATTCTGCTCCTCTGGAGAAAGACAGGCCTTTCTACCAAGCGTTTTGGTCTTGGAAACTCACAGGAGCAATTCAACAGAGTCTTATGGGATCACTATGAGTCAGAATTAACTTGAGGGCAGTGATTTTTAAAAAGAGGAGTTTCTCAGATACAAACGTCTATATATTCAGTTACTAACAGGAGGATTGGCTGTTCAAATCTACCCAGAGGCATCAGAAGACCTGAAAAATAGATTTTGAAAGATCACAAACACCAAACACTGTGAATCACCGTCTACTCTGGCGCACGTGAGGCCCCCATGAGTTGTAAATGTCTCAGCAGCATCAGGAATTGCCTTTGTCTTTGGCTAAGAAAAGAAGATTCTCATCATTCATTTTCTTGATACCCTACTTGATACTCTTTCAATAATAGATATTAATCAGATGTTCCAGATTTGCCATAAATTAATGCTATTTCTATGCAGCGATTACAAAGCATCTACCACCTATCTATCAGTGTGATGAAATGAGGTCACTTGCTATCAAACCGGAAGTTATCCTAATGGTATTTAAAACATCAGTAGGGTCACCCATGGTGGACATGTTTTAGCACAACTTGCAGATGGACAGTCTAGGAAGAAAGCCCGGTGAGCTACTTCAGAAAACGAGATAAGGAAAAGCCTATGGCTCACAACAGAAGAGTGTCTGTCTGACACTGTGCTTGAAGATGAGCCCCCAGGGTGGACGGTACTCAAAATGGACAGTGGTCACAACAGTGGACTGGAGAGCAGGCCCAAATCTGGAAGCGAGACTCTAGCATACACATGATGACTGATGGGGCTGCACCCCGCTACAGGGACATGGCTGGCAGAGGATGTCCAAGGTCTCCGAGCAGGGAAGGTGGCAGGCAAACCTGACCACCCCCATCATCACCCTCAACCCCCATGGACTCCTCAGTAGTAGCAACAGTGCGGTGGAGCAGCCAGGTACACTGGAACATCAAAAAAGCAATGAATGCCCAGGGGGCAGTCTCATGATGATGCTTGAATCTTATACACTGTCAATTCAAATGATGAGCTGGTCTTTGGGACCTAATCATATTGATAAGTGAAGAATGGGTGTATTTCTTCCTAGAGTGGATATAAACAAGGATAGTTTGCTAGAAAATGGGATTGTTGGCCACACCACTGCAATGACTTGACATTTTACGATGAGAACTTTCTTTTCCAAAGAATACAGCAAACTGGTGAGCATTTATGTATGAGGAAGACATGTGCTGCTTGTTTGTGTCAGGTTGGCTCTGACTTAGAGTGACCCTCTGTACAATGGCACTGCCCAGTTTGGTGCCATTGCCACAATTGTTGTTAAGCATGAACCCAGAGTTTTATTTTTAAATGTTGTAGTTGTTAGATGTTGTGGCAAACAAAACCCAAACAAACAACAAAACCAGACTCCTTTTCTCAAATTATGCTTTAGAAATCATCTGTCTGGAAGATATTATTAAGAAGGAATGTCACCTGCTTTGTATTTTCAGTGTTGGCACTTTGAAAGACTGTGACCCCCATGACCGGTGAGTTTATCTACGTCTAGAGGTGCCGTGAATTTCCACTGAGCAAGCAGAGCTTCAGTCATTCCCTCTCTTCCTTTGTCATACTTCTAATGTGCAACTAGAGCCATGTCAGAGCAACTCCCTCAGGCGGTTTAGGATGTAATATGAGTCCCTTCTTCATCAGTCTTGCAAGAGTCAAATGCTGTGTCCAAGTCCCATAAGCTCACTTGCTTTCCATTACCTTTTCTTATTGAAGGTTCCAGTAATCTTTGTGCAGCTGGAGTTGTCCCCTCCGCAGACCCCACACTTGTCATACTGCAGCTTGGAGCCAATGATGCCATCACAGCCAGTCCGCACACACTTCCCTCGAACACAGACAGAATTGCTGTACGGCCTACATTCCGTTCCATCAGTCACCTGCAGGATGAGAACCGCACTGTCAGTGGGAAGCACGTGGACGTAGGTACTTCATTCTTTTGATGAACAGGAACCAAACCACACTTGCGGCTGTTGAGTTGATTCCAACTCACAGGGACCCCGTGCAATATAGGACAGAACTCCTCCACTGGATTTTCTTGACTGTAATCTTGATGGAAGGGGCCTGCTGGTAAAATGGTTAATTGCTTTGCTGCTAAATGAAAGATTGGCTCTGTAAGAGAAAATGGCTCTGTGGGAGAATCATCTGGTGGTTTCTGCAAGACTGAAAAGCAGAAGCAAACTAACTGCCACGGAGTCGATGTCGACTCATAGCCACGCTATAGGGCAGGATAGAACTGCTCTTGGAGTTGCTAAGACTATACATTTTGTAGGAGTAGAAAACCCATCTTTCTCCCATGGGGAGTTAGTTGGTGGTTTTGAACTGATGACCTTGCTGTTAGCAGCCCAACTTGTAACCATTAGGCCGCTGGGCTCCTGTAAGATTACAATTGGGGAAAACCCCGTGTGGTAGTTTCACTGTCATGTGCCTTTGCTATGAGTTGAAATGGATGCAAAAAATAGCCATTGACCATCACCACATCTTTGTGGAAGATTTTGAGACCTTTCATTCATGGCATTGTTGAGTGAGTTTTCACAGTTAACTTTTAGGTTGAGTTCAGCACAAACTATTTGCTATACTCTGAGACCCTTTCATAAGCATGTATGTTCTTATTTGTGAATGTGATGTTTTCTAGAATACATAGTACATTAAAAAGTAAACAAAAATAAACTATACTTGATTTAAGCCTAGTGGTTTATTGTAGCACTATTCACAGTAGTAAAAATGTAAAAATAGCCTAACTGTCCATCGATAGATGAATGGATAATTAAAATGCAGTGTGTACACACAAGGGTATCAATGGAATATTTCTCAGCCACAAGAGAAAAGAACCCACGTTACATGTAATGACATAACTGAACCTTGAAAATGTGAAGGTAAATGAAATAGGGCCATCACCAAAGGACAGATATTATATAAACTTACATATAAGGATCCCTAAAATAGACACCAACTTCATTAGACACCTTGGTGGTTATGATGGCCAGTGCTCAGCTGATAACTGAAAGGTTGGTGGGCCCAACACACCAGCTACCCCAGTTCGCTTCTGTAGATACTCCAGCCTTAGCAAGTCCATGGTGGGGGGGTCAGCAATCCTCACTCCTAGGAGGCCATTATGAGTTAAAATAGACCCCACGGCAATGGGCTTGAGAGCTTCTGCTAAGGGTGATGGACAAAGTTTTAGAAATGGATCATGAATAACATGATAAGCATAATAAGTGTCAGATAGGAAGATGGCTTACGAAAAAAAGAGTAAGCCCCCCTCCCCACCACCATCAATAGCTTCCAGGCTTCTTGGTAGGAGATTTAGGATCCATCTAGGTGATCATTTTCTATCTTTCTCCCACCTGGGGTTATTTCAAATGTATTAGAAGACTCAAGGGAATGGTACATTTTTGTATGCATACTTCATTCCCACGGTGTTATCTTTTGTTTTTACTTTGAGGGAAGCAATCTTTTATTTTAGTGCTTACCCCTATCTCTGGTACAGAGAGCTGAATATGTGTGAATTTGAGAAATGAGATCCTTTTGGGGGAGCAAATTTATTATTCTAGTGATAATTTTGAAAACCGAAACTGACATTCAAAACCATGGCATGGGTAGAAAACATTACCTACTATGTGATGAATTGCAAGATACCAAAGTAAAGATGGGTGTGGAAAAGGAATCTAGGGCAGCCAGAAAAAAATAACTCTTGGACAAAAGAAATATATTCCAAATAAAGGATTGAGACTAGTGTCACTTGTGTGACGTGTGAACAAGAGTACAGTTACTATAAACACAGATACTTTGAATTTATATAGATACAAAACTCTCTTTTTACATATGTGACTGTGTGTAGGAACCCAAACAAAATACAATTTCATAGGTTAAAGCATTTATCTTCAGATAGTAGAAAAACATTCAGGTGGTGTTTTTGTTCTTATTCTTCTGTAATATATTAAAAATAAAAATGTGTACATTTGTAAAAAAAGATGAATTTTTATAAATTGGACATTAACTTATTTGTCAATAATATGCCACGTAAATAGGAAAAAAGAGTAAGCTCCCCTCCCCCCCACCACCAATAGCTTCCAGGCTTCTTGGTAGGAGATTTAGGATCCATCTAGGTGATCATTTTCTATCTTTCTCTCACCTGCGGTTATTCCAAATGTATTAGAAGACTCAAGGGAATGGTACATTTTTGTATGCATACTTCATTCCCATGGTCTCAGTAGCTGTTTTAAATGTAGTACCTATTTGCAAAGTAGATAAACATTACTTTTAAATTGTATATAAGATTGCTTTTAAGAAATAAAGCTGTTATAACTTGAAAATGATCTGCTGAGAAGAATAAGGGATATTTAACCTCACACTCAGACTGTCAAGAGACACTGTAGCATGGTAGACTTCTTTAGAAGTCTGATCCAGGGAGGATCTTGAAATCTACCCTCATGAATTAAAAAATAAATCTCATATGAATGGCAAGGAAAAAATAAGGAAGCTTACTTGCTATTTTATAATTAAAAAATAAATGTATGAATGTGTCATTTGTCTCTATTTTTTTACAAATAGAAACTATAACTGCTTTCATGATTACTTTGAAGATTATATTCCACCTTTTTTGACAAATTCCCATGAAACAAAAAGCACCTTTAAAACATGTAAATGTTCTGTTTATAAAATATGGATATTCCAGGAATGCAAAGTCCCCCTAATCTAATCACCACGAAAAAAGTGTTCATTTGATATCTTTATTCTATCGTGTAATCCCCCTCAGGATGTCTACTCTCTCCAGACAACTGTTGGGCGGTGAGGAGCCCTGGTGGGAGTCGTTTGAAACTCCTGATCCTCTGTGGGAGATGACGCCTTCTACGGTAACGATTCAGTCTCTGGAACCCACAGGTGCAGTTCTGCTGAGGCCCTTGGGTGAGCCTGAGTCAGACCGGACCAGCAAGCAGAGATTCCGTGTTACCTTTGGAGAGAACACCACATAGTAGCCTGTCCCCTTGGCTCTGCACGTCAGTTTGCACACGTCTCCCGGCAGGACGCCTGCGTACTTCGGAACCCATTCCACAAATATCTTGACTCCTTTGGCATCAGTCTGATAACCATTTTTGGCCTCACATTGCTCGTGACGGAAAGATTTACCTGCAAAACAAACATGCTGACCATTATTACTTTATTTGTGCTAAACTCACATGTAAAGGATAACTTTTAACAAAAAGTTGCTGCTTTCTCCTTGTCAAGCTTCTTTATAGACCTCAGTTGAAGAATGTTATCAAACTATATAGACAGTTCAAAACAACAGTTATCTTCTTCCAAATTCTGAATTCTAGAATGATTTTTCATAAAGCTTTTTTCAAATCATCGAAGTGTTTGTATTGATTTGAATGCTGGTGGAGTTAGTCGGTTATATGTTAACATTCATATGTCCACCATCCCTTGTTTCCTAGTGACACATTGCAAACTACTTGGGGTGCACGCTGCCACACGTGGGAGGAGCGTACCACTGAGCGGGCAGGGCGCGACGCTACAGGAGCGGTAAATAGCCCTCTTCCCAGTGCAGTAGCGGCCATTGTTTCTGGGGGCAGGGTTGTTGCAGTGGCGATGGGCAAACTGAACTCCTCCTCCACAGGACCGAGAACATTGGCCCCAGGGTCCCCAGGACCCCCAGTTGCCATGGCTTGAAGTCTGAAATAGAAAACAGAAGATATTTCCGTTCAGAACAGAAGAGACAACATTCCAAGTACACATTTGAGAATAACTTGAATTTGATGGCACATAGAGTTTCATTTTCATTTTGGCAGCCGTATCAACTATTTGATGGCCTACAATTAAGACTTTTTCGGATTCTAGGCAGTTAGCCTTTTCTAGGAGCCCTAGTGGTATAGTGGGTTACTTGTTGGGCTGCTAACCGGGAGGTTAGCAGTTCGAAATCACCAGCTGCTCCATGGAAGAAAGATGAGGTTTTCGACTCCCTTAAAGATGGGTAGTCTCAGGGCAGTTCTGTACAGCCCCACAGGGTCACCATGAGTTGGAACTAACTTAAGGGCAACAATTGTATGCCTTTCTTTCTTTCTTTCTTTTCTTTTTGGATTTTGAGCACCCTCTTGACCAGTGTTTCCCAAAGGGGGGGTTACTGGGGGACATTTGGATCTAATGGGGTTAAAGCAGATACCTACACTTTGTTCTGCATTATGGGTTATAGTATAAAGGTTTTTAATTCTGAAAAGGCAGCATAGCATAAGGATTAGCTACTGATTTCTCTGGACCACTTTATAATGATGCTTTCTGATATTATACATTTCTGTTCATGACAACTGAACCATGGTTAACACTTTATCCATTTTGATCCTGGATCATCAAGGAGCTGGAGGACGGACGATGAGTGTTTGGCATGATGCCAGGCACTATTTTCGCTGCTCCCATATTTTGTCCTCTCCTTGGTAAGAAAGCTTGCAACCCCTTTTTCTAAATATTAAAGTAAACTTATTGGAATTGGATTTTGCTTGACTCAATTCCTAATGAGGTGACAGTTACTGTGTAGAGAAGAAATGTGACAAATATGAGAATGTGCTGCCTGGGACATATATGTAGACACATACCACAGGGAAGGATGAGGCTTGCTATGACAAGCTAAGTCCAATGTTCTGTGAATATTATAAGCAGAGCCGAGGTACTTAAAGTAAATAGTCCAAGTGTCTTTGCTAAGGGGTTACATGAAGAACTTCCGCTGGTGGCCTGAGGCCTATCTGAGAACACATAATTGTATGATAGTGCTTGAAGACATAAACCACAACCAAACAGATTACTGCCAGGAGGATTCTGATTTGCAGACCTATGAATGGGGAAGGGTAGACCTACCCCCTAGGTTTTCCAACATTATCAGTCTTTGTGGAAGCAAAATGTCTCATCTTTCCCCAGTGGTGCTGCTGCATGGAATCAAACTGCTGACCCTTCGTTGACAGATGAACCCTTTCACCAATGCACCACCAGACCCCTTGGATGTCATAGGCAATGCTAGTAAGGGCAACATACTTCTAGGGATTTTGAAAAACATGCAAGCGAAAGTCAACAATGACTTTGGACTAGCTCTGAGAATCACAGTTGCCAATGTTGACCTGAAGCTGGCCTCTGTGTGTGTGTGTGTGTGTGTGTGTGTGTGAGAGAGAGAGAGAGAGAGAGAGAGAGAGAGAGAGAGTTTGATCCCTGGAACAGGTGTAGGTTTATTTTCTTTCTAGCATTAATCTGCTTTTGCTAGAAGGGGAGGAAAAAAAGAGACTGTTTTGAACTTCACTGCCTTTGTGTGAGTACCCAAGTGTCAGCTTTACTGCTATTTCCTTATCAAATTTAAATGTGTATTCTAAGAATTTACTGAAAGTAATTTGAAAATAAAACTTGTAAAAGCAATTTGGAGGGAGTCCCAAGGAAGTGCTAATGGATGTGTTTGGCTGCTAACAGGAAGTTGGAGGGCAATGTTTTCCCCAGAACCACTTCAAAGAAATTCTTATTGATCTACTTTAGAAAAACCAGCCGTGGAAAGCTGTGTTCAATGAATGGATGGGCAAAGCTCAGAACACTGAAATTCACAGCCCCGGAGCCCAGTCTCACTCATAGCAACCCTACAGTGATCTTACACGCACAACTACCCACATATAATGGGCCAGTACTCGGTCCTAAAGAGAAATGAAGTGCTGATGCATGCCACAAAGATGGATGTTGTAAACATGGTGCGGAGTGACATAAGTAAGTCACAAATGACAAAAACTCTAGGACCTCACTAATAAAAGCAGACAAACATGTATCTTACAAAGCCTCTTAGCCATAAGAAGCTTAGCCTCCAGGTGTGGGAAAGAAGAGGTAAGGGGGAGTTTTTGTCCAGAGGCATAGAATTAATACAAAATGAGGACCTAATGCCAGGAGTTTAAGTGGAGAGGAAATGTTTTGAGAATGATGAGGGCAATGAATGTACAAATGCGCTTTACACAATTGATGTGTGTATGGATTGTGATAAGAGTTGTATGAGCCCCTAATAAAATGATTTTTTAAAAAAGAAACAAAATTAGAAAGATGACAGAGATGAGGTTTATGCGACAGGAAAACTGTAGTCAATGTCACTGAATTGTATATATATGGTCTGTTGAATTGGTGAGTACTGTGTTGTGTATATTTGCACAGTTCTACTCTGATGCACATGGATGAGGCTGAAGCTGCCACCATTTAGAATCTAGGGCAACTGGTCTAACTTGGTGCCTCAAACCAAAGACATCTGGATTATATATTCCTGGAAGGATGCAAACGGTAACATCTTTTATCTGCATATTCTACAGTACATGTTTACTGAGAATGGTTGATGTAGGTGAAACTGAAAACAGTATTTAAAGTAGGAAATCATGTATTCCAATGACAATAGTCATATATGACAAATAAATGCTCTTTTATCTTGGATTTCCTAAGTATCCAGAAAATCACTTACTGAATAATATTTTTTCTTGGTTTTGTCCACACACTTTCCCTGCAGGCAGATCCGCCCCTTCCCACAAGGTGTCCCTTCCACGGCAGGCAGCTTCTTGGTCAGACACACCATCTGGCCCTGGCGCACCACGGCACACCACAGGCGCGCGCACACGTCCATCCCGGGACACACCGTGTACTCAGGTCCAAAAGTCAGGTTGCACTGCTGCGTAGCATCATATGTCTGTCCTGGAAGTTCTTCTGGGCCTAATATCTGTTTTCGTGGGAGGTCTAGCAGACAGTTACCTAAAAGAAGAATCAAGACTGACCACTAGCTCTGTGTTTAAGTTTCAAACCACTAAATCATAAGTCTAAATGTGCAATGCTCTGGGAATTGCAGAGGGGACCCAGAGAGGGGCCACGCTCCCAGAGACTCCGTGCATTCACCAGCCACCCCTCGGGACTCTCTGTCCTGTAAATATACTAGTGGAGCTGTGGCTGGCGGTGTTATCCTTACATAAAATTACAACACATAACTGTGAAAACAAACATTCTGCTGAGACATTAGAAGAAATCAGGATGGACATGGAGGAAATCAGAAACTGGACGTAATAATAACAATTTAAAAAAAATTAAACTGCAAGTTTCCAAAACAGTTCATTCTTGGCACTCTATTTAGTATACCCATTCTCCATTTCCAGCTTGCTCACATATTCTTCCCACTGATTCCATAAACGGTATCCAAGGTGACAGCTCGTTCATTTCTTTAGCACTTGTTCTTAAATCTTCATTCATTTTTTGCACTAAGTGGTTGAGCGCTTGTTTCGCCCCTAAGGTGTTCCACAAAAAAAAATAGGCACTGGAGAGAGAGGAGAGAGGGAAGGAGGGAGGGAGAGAGAGAAGAAAAAGAAGAAGAAGAAGAAGAAGAAGAGGAGGAGGAGGAGGAGGAGGAGAAGGAGGAGGA